CTGCCTTCGACTCAGTTCATGATCTCAGGGTGGTGGAATCGAGTCCCACATCGGGCTCTCTGCTCAGCTGGGAGCCTGCTTCCCCTCTCTCTCTCTGCCTGCCTCTCTGCCTACTTGTGATCTCTCTCTCTGTCAAATACATAAATAAATTTTAAAAATCCTTTAAAAAAAGAAATTTTCAAACAGGTACACCCCTTTTTAGTACTTATTGATAAATTCTTAATTTATTAAGAAATTTTCAAACAGGGACGCCTGGGTGGCTCAGTCAGTTAAGCGACTGCGTTCAGCTCAGGTCACCTGAGCTGGGGTCCTGGGATCAAGTTCCACATCAAGCTCCCTGCTCAGCAGGGAGCCTCCTTCTCCCTCTGCCTGCCACTCCCCCACTCCCCCTTTTGCACTCTCTCTCTCTCTGACAAACAAATCTTTAAAAAAATTTTTTTCAAACATACCCAAAAATAGAGAAAACAGTATAATGAACTCCATATACACATCATTAACATTTAATAATTATCAAGCGTTTTGCCACAATTTCTATCATTTTTTCCCTTTTTCTTTCCTGAAGTACTTTAATTTTAAAAATTTTTTTAGAGGGGCAGGATGAGAGGGACAGAGGGAGAGGGAAAGAGAGAATCTTAAGCAGGCATGCAGCCCAACTCAGGGCTCAATCTCATGGTGCTGAGATCATGACCTGAGCAGAAATCAAGAGTCAGACTCTCAAATGACTGAGCCACGCAGACAACCCTCAGAACTTCATTTATGGAGTAGAGTAATGGAGTTGGTGTCCTAGTTACTTCCAGTGGTGCAATGGTATCAGATGATTTAATTTACTTTTTTCTATTTTTATTTTTCCTTTGTGGTATCTTTATGATCTCATGGGTTTATATTGTTAAATTTTTTATTATAAAAATTGCATAAATACAAAAATGAATAAAATGGAATTTTATAGCATAATAATTATAAAGTGACTAGCTAGCTTTTACAACTCCTTTGCCTCCCTACCAAAATCAACTTTCAGGAAATTATCTCAATTTTAACACAATTTTAAATCAATATGTCCTTTCACAGGTTTTTAAGTATAAGATTTACTTCCATTATAGAATTGAAGCAGCCATATTTAGGATTTGGGATCTTCATTTTAAAACTAAGAGCCACCCATTGATCTGCTTTAAGCAGTGGAGTGACATGATATGTATTATGTGACATGATCTCTGAGATGTATTATAATAAGATCACTTCGGCTGTAGTGTGAAGACTGAACTGGGTGGGATAGAGCAAGTATATAGAAAATCTAGGAGGGTACTAACGTTGTCCAGGCAAAAGATGATGTACTTACTAGAATGGAGGTGGTTGAGATGGAGAGAAAAGCACAAGATTTGAGAGCGATTTAGGAGGTAGACTTCACAGGACTTAGTGACTGATTCTATGGTGGTTAGAAAAGGAGAGGGAGATATCAAGAGTAATTCTCATTTCTGTATGAGAATCCAGATGGATGCTTCTGCATTTACTGAGCAAGAGAACCTCATAAGGAGGAGGTATGTATTTATGAGAAGATACCTAATTCAATTTGGGATACCTGTAGGAAACCCAGCCAGAGACTAGAAGTTTACAACACAATCTGGAACTAAGAGGAGTTGTTAAGAAGTGATGGGCATATAAAAAGGATTTGAAACCTTGGGAATGAATGTACTTACCATCGTTTAGGAGTGACTAAGATCATATAGAATAAAATGAGTAAAGAGTCTAGGACTGAACCTTGAGAAACTCCAACATTTAAAGATTGGTAAAGGAGGAGGAACCAGCAGAGACAGAGAAGAAACAAAAAAATGTAAGAGGGAAACCCGGAAAATGTAGAATTTCTGAGGAAAAGGGAAGAAAGTGTTCCAAGAAAGAGATAAAATATCAACTGTGACAAAGCTTATCACAGGTCAACAAGGACTAAAAAGTGTCCAGTGGATTTAGCAACAACCATGGAGGGCATTTGGTTTCAAGGAGTGGTAAGAGCAGAATCCAGATTGAATGGATTTAGGGATAAATAGGAAGTGAAGAAGAAAGAAGAAAAAAGTGTTAGACAACTTTCTTGTTTCCTACATAAATTATAACACATGGGATTGTGCAATGGATTCTACAAAGCTCCTCTCCATATACTTATAAACACATGCTGTTCTTCTATGTAAGTGTACTTGTTTTATTACTTCAGTTAGATTGGAAGACTCTAGGGGTGCCTGAGTGGCTCAGTTGGTTAGGTGTCTGTCTTTGGTGTGGGTCTTGATCTCCAGGCCCTGGGATGGAGCCCTGCATTGGGCTTCCTGCTCAGAGGTAAGCCTGCTTCTCTCTCTCTGTCTCTCCCCTCTGCTTGTTTTCTCTCTCAAACAAATAAACAAAATCCTAAAAAAACAAAGCAAAACAAAAAAAAACTGGAAGACTCTAGAGAAAAGAGACCATGTTACTACCTCTGAATTACTCACACTATCTAGGATGGTCAAGGACTCACTGTAAAAACCCAGTAAATGCTTATTGAATAAAAAAGGCAAAATACTTATTCAATATCTTTAAGTTAGCCATTATAGTAGTTAATGAAAATATGCACAGAGAGAAACTGTTCATTTAATTTAACAAACGTGTGTATAATGTCTAATAGATGCTTGGCACTTTGCCAGGGACTGAGATTCACATTTTAATGCAGAAGAGCTGTAGATCCACAAATAAATAATTTAAATTCTACAAATATTATAAAAGAAAAGATGTTTTATGCTAATCTTACCGTGGATATGAGCAAATTTATTAGTAGAATACTTACACTTTGTAAGTAAAAGAAATTGGCAGAAAAAAAAAAGAGGTGAACTAGTAAAAAATCTTTTTAATAGTTTGCATGCTATTAAGTCAGATAACGAGGGAAGAAAGAACAGATTATTTCCCTCTGCTCTCCCATTTATATATTTAAGATTATCAGTGCTCAAATAATCTATTTCTGACCTAGATCTTATTGTTACTTATACCCAAGGGGAGAAAAAAAAATCCTCATTTGCATAAGGAACAGAATAGTTCTGAGATAGAATTACAAAGAATCAATTGCATGAACATGCCTCTCCTTTATTTAATCCTCTGTAAACTGCATAAAGAACTGAGACTATTGGAAAAATGACATATTTCTTTTATAATGTAAAGAAAATAAAATTCAAGACTGTGCCTCTCATTCTATAAGGAAAGATTTGTACACTTTACCATGGTCCAGCAGCGTTTCTTTTATTTGACTATTAATATTTCACAAGAAGTATTTTCAATGAGCGACTTATAAATCCTTATACTCCCCAATGTCATTTAATTCTTATTTTTATTAAATGTACATTCAGGTGCAGAAAGAAACATTCAAACTGTCCTTAATTCTCCTGTCTTTTTACTGAAATATAATTTTATTTGCTAAAGGGATGGAGATAAGATGGATGTTGAAGATTATTTTTCCTATGAAATGAGCGAGAAATAGATAAAATGAGTTGTGTGTTGGGTTTTATTTTTTTCTAGGGAGACTACTGCAGCAAACTTGAACAAGTAAAGCAGAGCTATGGAGAGCAGGCTAGAAAAATCCATGGCAGCCATTGTCACACCACAACCTGCAGCAGCTGTCTCAAGTCCCTCCCTCCCACGCCTGCTCTGCCTGTCTGCCAGCCCAGCAGGAATGAATGGGCTCTGCAGAGCACTGTAAATGGTGCCGCAGACCCTGAAAAGCTGTTGCTGAAAACCGAACATAAAAAAATCATCTGTGAGAATATATATTTTCAACCTTGGTGGTCATAGCAAACCTCTTTTACCTCTGAAATTTCACTAGCAACATCAGGTGGTGATCAGTCCAGAGTCTTATTTTTCATAGCCCATCCTTGCTGATAATAGAGCCTTTCTAAATAGCAAAAGAATGTTACCGCAATCCATTTCCTAGGGGTGAAAGCAAAGCCTTTTTGTCCCAAGAGGCAATTGAGCAACCACCAGAGTCTCTAGTTGAATAGCAACGGTGTGAGGCTAGCCACAATTCCCACAGTTAGAAGCCCAATCTCTGAGAAGATTTACCAAATTCACACAAGAACTACACAAAAAAGAAATGCAGTTATTAAGCTGACATAGTTGTCCGTGGATGGAGACAAAATCACAAATGGTTTTCTTTCTTACATTATACAGCTCTCCTTTTTAATTTGATGTTTTAGTTATTCTTCTCTTTCCAGAAAAAAAAAAAAAAGAACAATGCAAAATATAAGTGCATGGCACAGGTAACAGCACTAGCTTCTGAACTCCTTGTATTTTCTCCATTTTATACCAGGAAAGACGATTCATTTTAAGGAACGATACACTACATAAAATACATTACACGGGCTTCTGGTAAAGGAATATTTCTAATAGTCTATTTAAGTATGATATGTTTCTTGGATCTTAATTATCACCATGTTAGAACTACTTGTGTACTTCCATATTTAGTATGGTTTTCTTCCATCTTCCCTTTTTGTTTAGCTATTTGGGGGAGGGGTGCAAAAGAAGGTCTGATGATAAATTACTTGAACTTGAAAAACCATTTTGGGTGGCTCTATTATTAAACCTCTTTTTTATATTAAAAAAAAATCACATTTACCCAAGCCATTTTAAGCATCATTCCCATCTTCTCTCCTACTTTATCTGTAAAGCAATTAGAGATGTTGAAACTTCCTTGAATGTGGCAGAATATAATATTCTTTGAGAGAGGGGCTGGGAGTAATTTTCCATTAAATATTTCATCTCAACACAAATCCGCGATGTAAGTGTTGGAGAAAACCTACATTGGTGATTTTAACTGTAGTATGAGGTTTAAGCAATATAAAAATCATCCAATTCAAGTTCTTTTTCTTGCCTTCTCCCGCCCCCTCCCCCCCCAACCCCACCCCATAATGGATGCTCGGCTGACTGTTTTTGCACAGTCTCTTTGTCTGAAGGATGCAAACAGTCTATGGATGCTAGGGAAAAGGGGGTGGGGGAGAGATTACCTCATCCCATGTTGCTTGCACCAATCACCACTCTCCTGTCGTGGCTTCTCCGGGCAGATCGAGGGGTCTGGACCAACAGGAAAAGGCCCCAGCCCATCCCCATGGTGACCGAGTTGTATATAGGGAGCCGCATCCGCCCATGTGCCGCAGGTTCTCTTACATCGACCGCCTAAGAGTCGCGCTGTAAGAAGCAACAACCTCTCCTCTTCCTCTCCGCCATCTGCTCGGCAGACGCAAAGCAGCAACCATGGTAAGAATCTTCTTTCTCTGGCTCTTTGTGGCCATTGGGTGTGGTCAGTCCCCCAAGATCTACTTGGAAAACCTTAAGCCCTTTTTCCTTTACAATTTCTTTGGTTAAGGGTAGCCTTTATGCTTTGTGTGCGAGGTTTAGCTCTGCTGCCCCACATCCTGGAGCCCGGCCGCCGCCGCAGTGCGGGGTGCAGGAGCCCAGCCAGTACTGCGCCCGGGTGCAGCACGACCGTGGAGAAGAACAAAGGCGGCACAGAGCGAGTAGTTGTTATCTGAGACCTTCCGAGCCGCCAGCAGCCCATCTGTCGGTGACGAAAGGGTCTGGGGCAGGGAAAGGCGGTCGTGGCGTTGTCTGCCCGGCCCCAGCGTCTGTGCGCACGGTATTCGTGTGACTCGGAGAGGCTTTTCTTCCTGGCGTTGTTCCCAGGGGGAGGGAGAGAAGAACTCGTCCAAAAGGACCCGAGCTCAGTGGGTGTAGCTGGGAAGCGGGGAGGGGGGTGGGAAAGCACAGGGAGAAAGCGGAACCTTGGGTCAGTATAAAAAGATCCCTCCCCGGTTCTTTGGCATTTTAGAAGGATACCCGTATATTAGCGGGGACAAAATGGTTAGTTTCTGCTGGAGCCCCTGGCAGCCCGCGTCAGGGCGGCGCAGGGGCGGAGTTGTTTGTTTCTGGCTTCTCCGGCCTTAGAGCCACTGGGCGGGGTTCGATCTCACTAAAACCTCCCCTGTCAGAAGACTTAACTAAAAGCCTTTCATCATTGTGGAAATGTAGGCGTTAAAAGGTTTTTCATTCACTGTTAAAACTTAGATGAAATATTTTTTTCTTGAGATGCAAAATCACAGTTCTCTTGACAAGCCCTTTAAAGTCTGGTCTGTGGCCACCCCGCCCTGACTGACTGGAGTGTGTTGTGTCTTTATTGTCTGTCCGTCTGTCCCGTCTCAGTGTGCTAGGCGCACGTTCAGCAAGAGAAAAAGCCCACTTCGGAGAGCCAGGGTACCCTAACGCCCAGAACCCAGGGAAACGCCCTTCCCCACCCCCACCCCCGCCCCCGCCCATATGTCAGTGACTAGACAATGGGTAGACAATGGAACTTGTAGCCATAAAGACCATAGAGAAGAAAACCTCTTATTGAACGTGATAAGTATGAATATTCTGTGGTGAGTAGATAATCTCAGAATGAAAATACTATTTTGTTGTTTCAAATAAATATTTCATTATCCTTTCACCCGGGCTTTTATTCTTAAGTAGATCCTCTGATATTTTTCTGATTTAGGAACAGTTGTTTTAAAGATAACTAATAATTTTTCAGTCTTTTGCAGTGGAGAAGATTCTGGAAAGACTTCTTTTTAAGTAATGAAAATACTGCAGACAAAGAACTATCCTCTGTCCAGCTGTCTTTTGTTCTAGTGCATCTACATTAATTCATCTTAATGTAGGCATATGGTCCCAGCCGGGGTCAGAGAAGGAAAACTGGCAGAATAGCACAATGAGATCATGTAGGCAGTTTCTGGAAATAGAACTTACTCTGTTAAATAATGTAGCAGACAGAACAGGCTAGTACCAGGCACAGCAAATGCAGCAATGCAGGAGGCAGACCTTGTTTAGCTTCCAATCCCCTAGTACTAATGGATTCTGCAGATAGACTGCAGAGGGGTGTGGCATCTAGCCTCAGCTGCAGCGCAGATGTCCATGTTAAAATTCCAAGTCAAATGTAGAAGAAATTCCTCATTTAAAGGAAAGCAGTAGTAATACTGATTCCAATTAATTAATGATTAAATTTAACTTACTTCATTTTACAAAATCTGTGCTTTAAATATATTTTAAATATAAAAAATTTCTATTCAAGCATGACTGGAAACAATGGGCTTGGACATGGGTTAAATAGAGCCACATTATTATTCAGACCACACCCATCTGCAGCATTTGTAGCAGGTGCTTTTCCTTAATAATTTCTATTGAGTTAGGGATAATCTCAAATACACTTGAAGAATACCTGTATATAATTAGAATTATTTTCAAAAATTTACTGAAAATTCAAAATGCTAACATAACCTAATTTTACAATTTTCTTTTTTTCCTTCCCACAGCGTGAGTGTATCTCCATCCACGTCGGCCAGGCTGGTGTCCAGATCGGCAATGCCTGCTGGGAGCTCTATTGCCTGGAGCACGGCATTCAGCCCGATGGCCAGATGCCAAGTGACAAGACCATCGGGGGAGGAGACGACTCCTTCAACACCTTCTTCAGTGAGACGGGCGCTGGCAAGCATGTGCCCCGGGCCGTGTTTGTAGACCTGGAACCCACAGTCATTGGTGAGTTGGCCTCCTTAACCCGGTGAGCTCCCCCGGGGGTCTGGGACAGGAGGTCTGCCTTGAGGCTCCAGGGACCCGGTGAGGTTGAGCAGGCTTGTGCAGGTGGTGAGTGATGGGGGGCTGCTGTGTTTGCCTTTTCCAGATGAAGTTCGCACGGGCACCTACCGCCAGCTCTTCCACCCTGAGCAGCTCATCACAGGCAAGGAAGATGCTGCCAACAACTACGCCCGAGGGCACTACACCATTGGCAAGGAGATCATTGACCTTGTCTTGGACCGAATTCGGAAGCTGGTATGTTTATTCTCAAGAAGTAAATAATGATCCTAAGGAAGACACTTGAAATAGGTTCTTTTCATCTCAGACACAGAATTAAGTGTAATGGAGTGAGGTAAACTATTCCTTTACAGTTCTTCTTTAAAAATCCAATTAAAGCATGAACTATTTGGTGTCATTTAAGTAAGAAATGCTTAGTAATTCTAGGAAGGTCTCCATGTAAGCGTTTCTTGTCAAAATAAGATCTGTATTCTTGGACTTGTATGAAGAGTGACAATATATTTACTTGGGATATATTGCAAAGAGCAGTAATCATACGTTTTCTCTATTTCTTTTTTCTACCAGGCTGACCAGTGCACAGGTCTTCAGGGCTTCTTGGTTTTCCACAGCTTTGGAGGGGGAACTGGTTCCGGGTTCACCTCCCTGCTGATGGAACGTCTCTCTGTCGATTATGGCAAAAAGTCCAAGCTGGAGTTCTCCATCTACCCAGCCCCTCAGGTTTCCACAGCTGTAGTTGAGCCCTACAACTCCATCCTCACTACCCACACCACCCTGGAGCACTCTGATTGTGCCTTCATGGTAGACAACGAGGCCATCTATGACATCTGTCGTAGAAACCTCGATATCGAACGCCCAACCTACACTAATCTAAATAGGTTGATAGGCCAGATTGTGTCCTCCATCACCGCTTCCCTCAGATTTGATGGAGCCCTGAACGTTGATCTGACAGAATTCCAGACCAACCTGGTGCCCTATCCCCGTATCCACTTCCCTCTGGCCACCTATGCCCCTGTCATCTCTGCTGAGAAAGCCTACCATGAACAGCTTTCTGTAGCAGAGATCACCAATGCGTGCTTTGAGCCAGCCAACCAGATGGTGAAATGTGACCCTCGCCATGGTAAATACATGGCTTGCTGCCTGTTGTACCGTGGCGATGTGGTTCCCAAAGATGTCAATGCCGCCATTGCCACCATCAAGACCAAGCGTACCATCCAGTTTGTGGACTGGTGCCCCACTGGCTTCAAAGTGGGCATTAATTACCAGCCTCCCACTGTGGTGCCCGGTGGAGACCTGGCCAAAGTCCAGCGAGCTGTGTGCATGCTGAGCAACACCACAGCCATCGCTGAGGCCTGGGCTCGCCTGGACCACAAGTTTGACCTGATGTATGCCAAGCGTGCCTTTGTTCACTGGTATGTGGGGGAGGGCATGGAGGAAGGAGAGTTTTCTGAGGCCCGTGAGGACATGGCTGCCCTTGAGAAGGATTATGAGGAGGTTGGTGTAGATTCTGTTGAAGGTGAGGGTGAAGAAGAAGGAGAGGAATACTAAAGTTAAAAATGTCACAAAGGTGCTGCTTTTACAGGGAAGCTTATTCTGTTTTGAATATTGAAAAGTTGTGCTCTGATCAGTTAATTTGTATGTAGCAGTGTATACTCTCATATACAATTACTGACCTGTGCTTTAAAACACAACGCTTTGTTACAGACCCAAGCTGTCCCATTTCTCTGATGGGTTTGAATAAAGTATTCCCTGTCTTAAATGGATTCAGTCTTGTGTCTTCTATTTGGGTGTCTGAAATTCATGTATTTAGTTCTGTATTATGAAGTGACTTATTTTAAATTTTAGTATATTATAAAACTTAATCATAAAATACCAAATAACAATATTGCCACTACATAACATCCATGCTCTTAAATTGTAACTCCACTATGTTACTTAAATTGCTAGTACTCCTTTTAGAATTGATATTTACTAATACACAGCCAAAGGTCTGGTTACCTGCCAAGTCTCATATGACAAACATAAAATGGTGAATATTCCAAATGCACTATCATGTCTTAAATTTATTTTCATGCATTCTCATCTTGGCATGTGTCTAGTGCCATGATGTTTCCTCCGCCCTGGATTCTCTGAACAAGTCTGCTATCCAAGCAATTGCTCCCTAGTTCTTTACTTTTTTTTTTAAGATTTTATTTATTTGTCAGAGAGCGAGAGAGAGAGGGAGAACACAAGCAGGCAGAGCAGTAGGCAGAGGCAGAGAGAGAAGCAGGCTCCCTGCTGAGCAAGGAGCCCAATGTGGGACTCCATCCTAGGGCCCTGGGATCCTGACCTGAGTGGAAGGCAGCAGCTTAACCCACTGAGCCACCCAGGCGTCCCAGTTCTTTACTTCTTTATAAACTTAATTTCAGCTAAATGTCATAGTAGAAAAGCCTGATATATTTACTCACTCTAATGTGTTGT